ATAAAAATTATTAAAGTAAATTTCATTATGATACTCTTCTTTATGATATTGATCTTCACTGCTTTTGGATATGAACCATTTTTTGAAGAAATTAATTGCCAAGAATTTAATAAAAATTGTAGAGAATGTGTACGATATGTTCAAAATTTTAAAGACAATATTCGAGGATGTCAATGGTGTGATATGCCAAATTACTTTGACTCATATTGTTTTAATCCAAACACTACTATTTGTAAAGGTAAAATACAAGAAATATGTCAATTAGATCCATTAATAATGTCAGTTGTTAGTGTATTATGTTTACTTCCATTATTAATAGTTATATTACTAATAGTCTTACCATCCCTTATTTCTTGTATTAAAAAGCGTCAAACAAAACAAGATTAACTTGTCTTTTTATATATTTTCTTCTAAAAGAAAAAACCTTTCTTATTTACTTTCTTTTAAAGTGTTATTCAATTATTACTTAAATGACTAATTTGGATGATTTGTTCTTTATACTTCATAATAACAAATGGATAAAAATAAGTCCCTTTTACCTTTACATTGATTTGCTTTTCATCATTGAGTTGAATTTGAACAATTTGATTGTCAGTATCAAAAGTAAACCAAATATCATCTTCTTCTTCAATAGAATGAAATGACATTTGTTGTTCATTTCTTTGAAATTCATTAGAAACAATATACCCACCTTTTATTGGAAGATATACTCCACTTCCTAAAACATCATTTTTATCAGTACAACATCCAATAATAATACAATATCCATATGGATATTCTCCAATAGATTCAACAGTAAAACATACTTTAGTAATTTCTTTGTCAATAATAAGAATTGACTTATTTTGGTCATTTTGTGTTTTTTGAATAGAAACACCATCATCTATCATTTCATATGTAAATTCTCCATCAATTAAAATATCACTTTCTTTAATAATAATTGGATGTTTAAATGAATTAATACTTTTCCAATTTAATCCAAAATATTGAAATAATTGTATAACTTGATTTCTTTCTTCTTCTTCAATTTCAGAAACTTCTTCACCTCTAAGATATTCAGTAACAAATCCAAATCCTTTTCCACTTAAATTGATAACATTAATTTCTTTACATTCTTTTAATAATTTCTCAGCATATTTCTTTGGAATTTTATATGAACAATCAATAAATTGAATTGTTACTATATCTTTAATAGAATATTTTTGGTTATTTAATTTAATATTTCTTTGTTGAAGACTTAAAAGGAGATGTTGGTTATAAAGTTCATAAGCTCTAAGTATTTCAATTTCTTCTTTAATTGATTGGTCAGATAATGTTTTTGATGTAGATAACATTTCTTTTATTTGGCTTGACACACTATCAATTTTATTTTCTATTTCTTTGTTCCATTCATCAAAGTGTCTTTTTTGTTCTTCTAATTGATTACCAATTATATTAGTAATCATTGTAGTTTGTTCAATTAAGTTCATAGTAAACAATAAATGGAACTTTAAGATTTAGAATAGAAAAAAATATAATAAATATAATAGAAATATAATAGAAATTTAATAAAAATTTAATAAATTATTATGAGGTTTAACGAAATAACACAATTTAATCATTTATTGGAAATTGAGTTATTATATCATCAGTTAATTTCATTTCATTACATGTTCTACAAATTCCTTTTTCACAATCATTTAAAAATGGTTGATAAGGTTTTAAACAATATCTACATTGAAAATTATTTGAACCTTCTTCAATTTTTTGAGCAGTTGAAATAATAGTATTTGGAGTTTGGTCAAATTCTATTTCTAAATCATCAACAAATTGTTGTGCTCTCATTTCTAAAGTTTCATTAAGAGAACGAGGTATTTTATCAGAATAATTCAAATACTCAAGTACTTCTTTTTCAGTAAAATCAACTGGTCTTGATACAATAAGGTCTTTATAATAATACTCGTATTTACCAATTGAAGGAACCATTTTTACATCACCTTCAATAACTGCAGCTAAAATTCTTCCAGCTTTTAATGTCATATTTGATCCATCCACCCAAACGTGTTTTCTTTTTTTATTTGATTTACTTTTAAAAATTATATATCTTTCATATAAATGATATGGAAGGTCTTTTATTTCATTTTGATCTATACAACAAATTTCACAATTATATAATGGTACTTTTCTTTGTTTATCTTCTTCAATAAACATGTTTAATAATTTAATTGTATATTCATATGTTAATGTATGATCATTTATTATATAAAACGTTATTTGGTCATTACGTTTTAATGCTCCATTTAAATAATATTTAAATTTCTTATAATGTAATATTTCAAAACATTCTCGACAAATATATCCAGTTCTAAATGGCTTTAATGAAATATCTTTACGATGACAATCTTTACATTCAATGTTTGTATTTTGTTGCATGGTATTTAATGGTTTTTGTTTTGAAAAAAAGGGTTTTTTATTCAAATAAAAATATTTTGTTTTTTCTTTATTTTGATTTTTTTGTTATAACAAAAAAAAACTTTTAATTTTTATTTCTATCTAATGAACAATAAAGAAACTAAAAAACAGGAATTACTCTTTGAAATGAAATATCAAAGTTACATGATTCTTTTTGATCAAAAATGGGATTCTTTAAAATATTCTCCTAGTCCAATTCAACCTGTTAAACCTTCTCCTTCAAAACATAAATTACAATAAACTTATTTTTTCCTTTAATCTCAATAATCCGTTTCAAAGTTTTTTCATTTAATTAAATCTACTGTAAATTTATCATATTTTAGTTTATCAATGATTAAAAAGAAATGTTGCTCTTTCTTTTCCTTTTTTTTTTAAAGAAAGAGAAAAAACTATGAAAGTAACTTCTTAGTTTTGTGTATTTTCTTATTAGTCTATGAACTCCAACGTATTATATCAGTTACCTCCAAAAAAAGTTTTAACTGGAGCTCCACCATTACCTAAACATCCTCAGAAAAACTTCCCTTCTTCTACAAAACACCTTCAACAACCTCCAAAAGAAAATAAATTAACCCAAAATGATAATAAAATAGAGGTTTTACATGAACTGCCAAAACAGCCTCTAAAAGCTCCACCATTACCTCCTTTACCAAAAGGAGCTAAACCAAAAGTTTCACCTAATCCTAATTCTCCACCTAAACCAAAAGAAACACTACCCCCTCAAAGTCAAAGACCTATAATACCAAAACTTGAAGTCCCAAACTCTCCAAAACAACACTTATCAAATCCTCAAAGGTCTAATACTTCACCAATCAAACCTACAGATATTCATAATGAGACTATTACACAGTATTCTACACAAAAACAAACACCAAGGTCACAATGTGATATTGAAAAACACCTTCAAAAACAAAGGGCTTCTGTTGGTTCAACCCAACCATTATATGCTTTATCCCCAAGACAACATATTTCTACCCCAGTCAAAGGTGTTCCTAAAGAGCCAACATTGACAAATAACTTTTTTAAGAAAACAACCCATATATCTCCTCGTCAGTTTAGTGGAGATTCTTTTATTGTGAATACTTCTTCATCTACTAACTGTACGTCAGATATAACAACACCAAATAATAGTTCTACTTCTCCAAAAGTAAATGATTTATCATGCCAAAGCCAAAAAGTGATTGAACCAATAACTACTCAAAACCTTGGAAATAACAAAGAAGAAACATCACAAGAAGATAAAGAAGAATTAAAACATTCAAGAAGAGGAATTGGTATTTTCTCAAAATTCTCTAAATCAAATGACTTATTAACTTCATCAACAAAAGACGAAAAGAAAAAAGAGAAAAAAGAAAAAAAAGTCAAAAGAAAAGGTGATGAGAATTGTGGGTATGAGATACAATCACCTCGTGTTGATATTGTTATTCAGCCAAATGATTTTTTAAAAAAGTATGAGACATATATAATTAATGATGATGCTGAATCAAAAATTCGATTTATTCCTAAAAATCGTATTGGAGAAAAAGTTAATGGAAGTGAATTACTAATGCATACTGCTGAATTAATATTTACAGAATTCATGTTTTGTGCTCGATTACAAATATTTAAAACATGGTTTGAAGATATTATTAAAAAAGAAATTCCTTTATTAAAACATCAAGAAGATTTATTATTTGGTCCATTGGATTCATTAGTAGATTCTATCAGTCGTATGTGTTTAGAATTAGAACCGTTATATTATGAATTACTTGACAATAATATAAATTTGGAAGATAAAATAGTTTTAGATATTATATTGAAATATTATGCTTTTGTTACTGGAGTCCAATCAGGTTCAGTTAATCTTTCAACTTCATTTCTTCCATTTGTTGCTCATTATACTTCATTAGCAACAAATATTGATGATTTTATTAAAGATAATAAACAACTTAATAAGTTAGTTACAATTCAAGTTAATTCATGTATTGATAAAAATATTAAACAATTTGCTGATTTATATTTTGCTCCAACACAGAGAATATGTAGATATGAATTATTACTTTCTAGTATATTAAAAGAAATTAAAGATAAAGAATGTAAAACAGCAAAATATTTAAATGAGACAATTATTTGTTATAAAGAAATGAATGTTAATATTAATGAGCTTATTTTTAAGTCTAAATATTTTTATTTAAAAAGATATGAGTATTTAGATCAAATATACAAATCAAACAAACCAATTATTATGGCAAATATTGTTAATACTCATTTTGATTCTCCAGAACATTTTGTTTCTTATTATCAAGGATATAAAGGAGCGATTATTGGAAACTATAAAATTGAATTATGTATTTTTTATAATGGAATATTAAGAAAAGATATAAAAACATCTTCATTTGAATTTTATCCAATTGAAACAATATACAATGAATTAACTGAGAAAGAAGAAGATAGTTTAACTGAAAATGATATTTATTTTTATGACGCTAAAAAGAAAAAGTCTCAAATTATCACAATGACTTCAATAGAACAACGAGACCAATTTAATTTTAATCTTCGTTTAACATATGACCATTTCATCAAATCACATAAGACAGAACTAACTAATGTTTTTTAAATCAAATTCTTTGTTTATTCTTTTGATTTTAAATTCTCTTTAATTATTGATTCATTTTAAAAATATATTAAATTTCAATTGAGTTTGGGCAATTTTCATTGATTTTCTAGTGGTTGAACTCAAAAAAATAGTATTGACACTTCAAACTATGGAGTTGTGTGAACTTATTCTTACTGACACTGAACGTGTTAAAAATGAGTTAATAAAAAATGGTCCAAGTCAGTTAGTTGGAACTATTTGGTTTGATAAAATGATACACATTTGTTGCGAAAAAGAGTTTGTGTCTTATTTTTTGTAGAATAATAAAAAGAATGAAGTAGCTTAAAAGAAACAAAGGTTTAATGAATTAGTTACAAAGATATATTGGAGTTATTATTTAATTTTGAACCAAAGAAAGTTTCTTGTCTTGACATTGATGGTAGAACTCCTTTAATGAATGCAATTCTTAATAAAAGTTTGAATGTTGCATTATTATTACTGACAAATGGAGATTGTTGTTTAGGAACTATTGACTCATATGGAAATACATTACTACATTATATATCATACTCACCATTTACTGATATGATATTATTATTATGTAAAAAATTGATTGAAGAATATCCAGTATTTATTGGTATGAAAAATTTAAAAGGAGAAACTCCTCTTCATATTTCAGTCAAGATGGGAAATATTGAGTTTGTTGATTTTCTTCTTTATAATGGTGCTAGAGTAGAAGATAAAACTTTTGATGGTAAAAGTGTCATGGAATATGCTTTTTTTGCTAAAAACAATTCAGGAAATATTATCCAAAAGTTACAGAATTATCAAGATGTAATAAGTCATACAGAAAATAAAGAACAAAAAGAAACTAAATTTGAAAGACATGATGTTGTTATACATGAAACAAAAACTTCATTATTTAATTTTACGTTGTTTAAAACCAAAGAACAAATGAGAAAAGAATATGAAAATGATTTTAAAATTTTACTTGACTCATTTCATCTAAATGAAAAAATGACATTTCCTCTTGACTCATTTAATAGAAAAAAAAAGTTTAGAATGATTTCTATTGATGGTGGAGGAAGTAAATGTACTTTACAAGCTCTAATATTTGCACGGTTAGTTAATAAATTTCCAACATTACTAGAAGAAGTTAATTTGTTTTGTGGTGTATCAGCATCAAGTTTCATTTGTGCTGACTTAGCCCTTGGGATAGAACCACAAGATGTTGCAAAGATTATGATAGAAATGACAAAACATATGTTTGAAAAGAAGTCACGAGGATATACAGAGTCATTATATTCAAATACATATATTATTGATGTTGCTAATATGACTTATGGAGAAAAGAAATTAACTGACCTTAAACGAAATATTCTAATAAATGCTTTTCAATTTGATTCGGGAGAAAATGACCCAAATAGATGTTGTAAAGCTTGTGTATTCAATAACTTTATTCCAGGACATGATTGTAAAATTGCTGATGCATGTCTAAGATCTTCTGCTGCTGTTGGTTATTATCCACCATATCAAGGATATGCTGATGGTGGAATTTTTGAAAATAATCCATGTGTTTGTGCTTTTCCATATGTATTTGGTGATAAAGGATTTAAGGCTGACATACAAAATACTGTTTGCCTTTCTATTTCATCAGGAAGACCACCAGTTAATTATATGGATAGAAATAAATATACAGATGCAGGAATGTTTCAATTATTACCTATTACAATGGATGGATTCTTTTGGAGTAGAAAGTCAATGGCAGATGATGTTGCAAAAGGTTTTTTAGGTGATCGTTATATGAGATTTGATCCAGTATTGCCAGGCAACCTTGACTTAGATTGTAGTGATCAAATTGATAAGATAATTGAAATTGGGAATACTATTGATATCACCTCAATAGAAGATTGGATTAAAAGATATTGGCTTTGAAACAATAATGAATTAATTAAATATTGGCTCATTCTGATTCTATCTTTGTTGGTAATGTTTCTTCTTGTTGAACCTCAGTTTTTAGTTCCCCTTCTGGTTCAAAACCTTCATCTAAAGTAGGAGGGGCATTATAGTATTGTTGATATTCAGTCACTAAATCAATAAGATCAGCTTCTGCTTCTTCAAATTCACTTTCTTCCATTCCTTCTTCTGTATACAAATAGATAAATGCTTTTTTTCTTAGCATAGAAACAAACTGTTTGTAAACTCTTTTAAACATATCAGATATAGCTGTTGAATTCGATATCAATGTACCTGACAAATCCAACCCTTTAGGTGGAACGTCACAGACAGCTAATTGCATATTATTTGGAATCCATGGAATGAATAAATCTGGATTTTTTTCTCTTACTCTAAATAATTGTTCTTCAACATCATGAGTTGAAACTTTCCC